CCCGCCGCGCCACGCGGCGGGGCCGCCGCCCGCAGGGACGAGGCCGCGGAGGGGGCGGGCCCGGGCGCGGGGTGCGGCGGTCCCGGGCCCAGGCCAGGGGCCGGGCCGTCGGCGCTGGCGCGCTGCAGGGCGTGCGCTGCGGAGTTCGGTCCGGGGCCGCCCCTGAAGCCCGCTGCGGCGCACTGCAGCATGGCACGGGGCCCCGACCCTTCCCCCGGCGTGTGGGTGGGCTGGCGCAGGTCGCGCACGGCGTGGGCGAAGAAGCAGACGGGGCGGCGGCAGGCAGGGCCCTCCTTGCACAGCTGGGTGCGGTACTTGGCGGGGTGCAGCCAGCACTCATACACGCCGTGGGAGTAGGGGCAGGCGTCGCCGCGCAGGCAGATGCCGCGCTTGTAGTCGGGGCAGGGGACGGGCAGGTACTCCACCAGGCGAGGGTCGCGCCGCCGCGCGTTCTCGGTGGGGTGGGCGAAGGGGCAGCAGCGCCAGTCGTGCACGCACCGCTTTCCACACCGCTCCACCTGTCGTGTGGCAGGGGGGGGGAGGGAGGAGGACAGTGGGGCACAGATGTCAGGGTGATATGGCAGCGGGCCTAAGATTGTGCATGGGCCATTGCTCCCTGGCCACCCGGCATGGCCAAAGGTACAAAACAAGCATGCTCAACAGCAGCCCTCACCTTGAACTGAAACATTCGAAACTCGTCTGTGGAGTACTCTGGGGCATTGAGCTCGTCGCTCACGCTCTCCTCGCCCTCGGTGGGGAGGGCTGCCGCAAGGATCTGCTGGCCGAAGGGGTCCTGTCGAGGGAGGGAGGTGGGGTGGGGATCACAGGACGGAAACACACCGGTGGGGCCCGGTGGGTACCTGGGCGACAAAGAGATTAAAACGAGAGGAAACATCGGGAGCATCAATACAAAGCCATGTCGGACAGCCAGGAGCAGTGGGGTCCACCGCGGGTGGTGAGGCTTGGTTCAAGACCATCTCGCGCGGGAGTGGCTAGGATGCCATGAGGGGTCCCTAGCCCTCGCTGCTGCACCCCCACACCACAGCACACATCCAGGATGCCAACCTGGTCGAAGCATGACGTGAGGTTGTGGTACATGAGGCTCGTCATGATGTCGAGCGGCTCACGCGCGGGCTACAAGGGAAGAGCAGGCGCGAGAGGCCCGCTTAGCGTAGAACAGCAGGATTCTAGGAGAAATCTCAGAGTGAAAGTTGCATGGTGACGCTTGGAGCAGCCGCTCGCAATACCAGGGCCTGCCACCGCTTCTGGGGACGCCAAACCTCGGGAGAGCACAACGTGTGACGCCATGGTGCCGTATATTGCCCAGGGGCCAGTCCAGCGGTGGACAAGGGACGCGCATCAGGGTTTAGGAACCCTGATTCCCTATCACGTGTGGTTTGGTGGAGTTACGCTCTAGGAGACCCAGTTCGGCCAACCCGGGACTATACTAATCGCCCAGTCAGGTGCCACTCGAGCCGACCCATGTTTAAATAAGATATAACAATGCAAATAATTGCTTGATGGGGATCCGAGAGGGCCCCCGTCCGGCGGGGGCCATTTTCGCCCCTTCGGGAGACCCCGTGGTGGCCAGTAGGGCTGCGAATGCATCGCAAGAGGCAATTTTTAATTTGTTAATATCATATGAACGCAAGAGTATCGAGTACAGCGCGATAGAACGCCGTCACCCACACATCGGTCGTGCCCGATGGGCCCCTGGTGGCCTAGGGGCCTCCCTCCTCCTTAGCCCTTAGAGGGGCCAGATACCCCCCTTCTCATGCACTGCCCTTCTGGATGCTGGTCCACTCGTTTACAAAAATGGGATCCCCACCAGGTGCAAAGTCATCTTGGCCCTCATTTGCTTGCTGAAACAGTTCGCCGCCTCTTGCCGCCTCCCCTCTCAAGGTGGGAGCGGATGCGACGTGCTTTGCACCTGACGTGCCGCTCGTAGGGAATGGTATCAGCCGACCAAGCGGGCAGTACAGGCGAATCAGCTTCCATGAGGTGCTTGTAGAGTGCATCATGTTCCTCCTGCGCTCCCTTCTCCATGACTAGAAGAACCCATGCCGCCAGCCGCTAGTATTGCTCGTCGACCTCTGGACCGCTCTCAGGTGAAGGCGCCGGGTTGTCCGGGATGCTCAGCAGTGGTGGAGCATTGCTGCTGCTGTCCACAGGGCGTGGGCCAGTGGCACTGTCCAGTCCTTCAGTGTCAGGCTCCTTGGATGTTGTGACCTGGTCGGGGGTGATCCCAAGTGATGGGTCTGCCACTGGCACCGGCTCCCTGCCGGGCCTCCTGCTGGTGCCGGCCTTGGATGCCACGATGTTGCCTGTGTCAGTGTGTGGATTGTTGATTGCGTCAATGGCTTGGTGTGGGTGGGTAGGATCGGAATGACCGTGTGAGGAGGAGAAGAAGATGGGCGACAGGGAGGAGAAGAAGACGGACTGATTTGTACACAACGGGAGGGCATTCTTCGCCCTCCTCTTCAACTTTCGCCGCTTCGAGGGCTGTGGCTGGTACTCGGCGGGCCACTGGATGACAAACGGGTATGGTGTCTCCGTCACCCTGCGGCGGCAGAGAGGACCTCCCCGGCCCGGCGACCCCCCGCCCCAGCCCCCGGACGTCCCGAGGACCGGCGGCAAGCGCGATCGCAGCGGGGCGCCCCTGGGCGCCCCGCAGGGCAGGGGATCGCCGACGAGCACTACCGGTGAGTGGTCTGCGCCATGGACTCCGATGGTGTGTGCTGCTAGGGATGGTTCTCCTGGCTTGTCGACATGCTGCAGTGATTGCCTGGGACGCTTGCAAGTGGTGCGGGGGTGTTGGCTGCTCCGTTTCTGGCAGTGACTGTGGGTGTGGTGTACACCAGCAGCGAAGCGCGCCACCCTACGCAACTACCCACACCCCCGCCAACCACCCACACTTGCCGCGCTCCTACAACATGACTCACCCCATACCACTATCCCCCTGTACACACATCTGCAGGCGGGAACCCCCTCCAGAGGATGCCAAGATACACAAGTACGTCGGCATCGACCCCGGGCGGACCAAGATGTTTACCACGGTGGACGAACACGCCAACGTGACATCCTGCTCTTCAAAGGAGTTCCACTCCATGTCGGGGTCCAAGCGGCGGGAGAAACCATTGCGAAGTGGCACGCAAAGACCCCAGACTTCGTCAAGGAGCTGCACAAGTGAGTGGTGATTGGTTTGTGGAGATAGTGCAGGGACAGGCCCCACAGGGGCAGGCACTATGTCGCAACCTCCCGCATCGCTCCAACTGTACCAACCCTCTTGCCCAACCCCACCCCCCCTCTTCCCGCAGGTGCCCGACCCACAAGACAGCCAGCACCGAGGTTCTGCTGTCGCGGGCGGTGTGGATCGGCCCCAACCTGCGACGGGGCCTGGCCTGGCACATGCATGGGAAGCCGTTTCGAAAGCTGTGCCACCAGGCCTACGTCGCCAGGGAGCGGGCCATCAACCGGCTGGCGGAGCAGTTCCGCGGCCCCCCCGGCATGACTACCATCGTCGGCGTGGGCAACTGGTCGGCCCAAGACCTAGGGGGGGGCATCATGCGGGGGGCCCGCCGGGGCCCTGGATGCGCTTCTTGCGGCGCCTGCGGCGGGTGTGCAGGGTGGTGATGGTTGACGAGCACAGGACTTCCAAACTGTGCTGCGCCTGTCACACCACCCTGCTCGCCCACCAGTACGTGCCGGTTTGCCGAGGCGAGGAGAAGCTGGTGGACGTGTGGGACACCAAGCGGTGCGTCAACAAGACCTGCAAGGTCAACATTGTCAACCGCGACGTGAATGGAGCGGTGAACATCCTGATGCTGACCAAGTGCTTTTTTGAGAGTGCACCTCGTCCCACAGCTTTTGGTGGACCCCCTGCTTCCCCTTCCTTTCCCCCACCCCCCACCCCCCCGGTTCGCCATTAGAGGCAACCAACTGCGCCAACGATATCCCGTCCACGGGAAGAAGCTGCTAGCAACCGGCGCAAGCCCGGTAGAGGGGGGTAAGGGTATTCCGTGCTTTCCCGGGTGCCACTCCTCGATGCTCTAACCCCATTGGCTGGGGTGGATGGGGGCCATCGGCAGGGCGCCAACTCAGCAAGCCTGTGTCCTGACGCTGGGGTCTCACCCCAAACCGCCCGATTCTCCATCCAGCCCGGTATACCTACAGAGCGCTGTTCACCGCCTAGGCTCGACTAGAAGCATTACCCGAGATTTGTTCCGATGGCGAGAGGCAGGGGCAGAGGCAGAGGCGGGCGATCCCGGCAGCCCGGCCGGGAGGACGACCAGGATGTCTTCGACTACCAGCCTGAGAGTGCGTGTGATGGGTTGCTACCCTGGATTGGAAACGAGCATCGTCTCCGGAATCTCTGCGTGGCCTGCCGCAACCTTGCGCTGTCTTCCATATAATCTCCATGGTTCTGTGTCTGCACTGCCCCTCCCAATGCTCCGCGCAGGAGGCCAGTCGTCCAACGTCGGCCTCTTGCCACCGAGTGACAGCGATGACAGCGACAGCGAGGACGAGAAGCCCAAGCTGAAGCAGGTGGGGGGAGCTGGGATCTGCTGAATGATGGGTGGACAATATCCACAACTTCACGCCGCCTGTGGAGCCTTCGCCCAACTCTCACACTTTCCTTCCAACAGAACGCTCGCGTCGGGGAGCTGCCCTCCAGCTCTAGCGACGAGGACGACAGCAGCAGCAGCAGCGGTGTGTGGTTTGTCGCAGTCCTGAGTGCCCCTTGACCAGGATCGTGGGAGGAACGGCGGCATGCCTTGCAGCTGGTGTGGGCACTGTGTACTTGGCGGGACGGTAAAGCTCATGTCCCCAATTCCCTCACGTGCTCATTTCCTCATCCATCACAGAGAGCGAGCCGGAGGTGGAGGCCCCGCGCCAGCCACGCAAGCGGTGAGCAGCAGCAGCGATTGTGCAAGGAATTTCCTTTGTTCAGATGACTGGTCTCATTTGCCCCCTCTCATCGTCAATATGCAAGCTCGACGCCCCTTCCCCCCCACACCCTCCCTTCTCCCAGTCCCGAGGACGAGGTGGACCCGGCCCAGATCGAGGCAGACATGGCCCGGTTGAGGCTCATCAAGGAGAAGCGGGAGGCCGACCGGCTGAAGCGCATTGCCGAGGAGGGCTTCGACCGCTATGCGCCCCCCGGCTCTGACAAGGCCAAGTGAGTGGGGTTGCGGGGGTGGGAGGGAGAGGTGGGGGATCTGTCTGCGGCCTCGCCTGGCTAGGAGCACCTGCATCCCTGATCTACCCTCTGCATGCATGTGTCCTCAGGCAACCTCATTCACGCCACCCGACCCTCCTTGCCTCCTGCAGGCCCGAAACTGTGCTGCCCAAGGACCACCCTTCACTGAGGAAAGCGTGAAACCGGTGGTGTGCCAGGATCCGAGGAGAGATTGCCCGCCCAACACGCTGCCCAGACCTGCCTCGTTCGCCGAGCTCCCGTTTCGCTGACCCCAGTGCTCGCCGTGTGGCATGCGGCGGCCTGTTCGATGCAGCAATAAAGCGCAGCACAGATGTCAGGGGTGTGACGGGGTGCAGGCCCGGGAGGTCTTGAGGCGTTTTGCAGCGCCACCCTGCCCCTCAAATGTATGCATGGTGGGGAAGCAGGGGGAGGCATGGGCCCAGACCAAGGGCATGTGCACCCCTGGCAGGCGTGCACTGCAGCATCCCCCCGCTGTGGCCCCTGTCTGTGTCGCCCTAGCTCGCAGAGCTCGGGAGTCATGCATGCCTTGCCCGGCACCGCTCGCGGCCCGATGCGCGGCCCGTCCCTCTCCTGTAATGCTCATGGGTGCGACGCCAGACGGGCCCCTCCAGCCACTTCTCTGCCGCTCATCGCTACGACGCCAGCCGGGCCCCTCCAGCCTCTCATCCGCCACCCGCCGCCGCGACGCTGGGCAGACCCATGGGCAGGATTTCCGCAGCCCATGCGCACGCTCACCGGCAGCTGCGCCGGCCGGCCATGTAGGGCCAGAGCGCCGCAAAGTACTGGGCCAGGGACCAGAGGGTGAGGAACGCTGCAAGCGCCAGCAGCGCCGCACCCGCGTCGGCCAGGGTGGCGGGCGCGGCGCGCGTCCGCGCCGCGCACAGCGCGACCAGCGCTGCGAGCTGCATGCTGGTCTTCAGCTTCCCGGCGGTGCTGACGACCACGGCGCCACGCGCCGCGGGCCCCGCGCCCGCCGCCCACTCCCGCAGCGCTGACATGGCGATTTCGCGCCCCACGATGGCGGCGGCGGCCAGCGGGCACAGCAGCGCGTCGCCGGCCAGGCGCCCGGCGACAATGGGCGCGGTGCTGAGCAGGACCAGGGCCGTGGAGACCATGAGCTTGTCCGCCACGGGATCCAGGAAGGCCCCGAACTCGGAGGCCACGTTCTGTTTGTGTGTTTTGGGGGGAAGGGTGGAGGGTTGGCGGTTTGGGAGGAGTGTCACCTTGCCATGCAGCTGGTGCCATTCCCACAGCAGGCGCCGGCTTGTGCAGCTGCCCGATGCCGGCGCCCAAGCAGCCACGCACAGGCACGCCCGGCCAACTCCAACCCCTGCTCCTCGCACCAACTTGCGGGCCAGGTAGCCATCCAGGAAGTCGGTGACGGAGGCGGCCAGCAGGAGCCAGGTGGCGGCCGCCGGTGCCCAGGGCGCGGGAGAGTACCACAGGGCAACGAAGGCGGGGATGGCCGCCACGCGGGCCAGCGTCAGGGCGGTAGGCAGGGTCCAGATGCGCTCCTGCGTTGTTGGGTGCGAGGGGTCCGGGTTGTCTATGTTGGAAGGGTGCATCAAAGAGCACAGGGCGGGCCCTGAGGCCAGAGAATCCTGGGCATCCAGCCTGCGTGACTTCATGCTTGTATCCATCTGCTGGCTCAGGGGAGACACCGTGCCATTCAACTGATTAAAGCAACAGGTATGGCCCCCGCCAGAGAATGGCGCTCCTGCATCGCTCATACCACACCTTCCGCTCCAGCTGCGGGTCATCCTCCATAGGAGCGGCATGCGGTGTGAGCACCGAGGAACGTCGACGCCATCCCCAGGCCCCTCTTGACCCATGCGCTGCATGCATGAAATTTACATCACGGTGTAATCTCCCCGGCTCCCAGCGGCTCTGTGTCCGGGTGAGATGGGGGAGTACTGCCTGGCCGGGGTGGGAGTCGAGCCGGGTTCCCACCGGTGGGAGGAGCAACCGCAGCGACATGAGTGATCATGATCTCATCTTTACAGAACCAGGAATACCGAATCTAAAGCCGGGAGCGGGAGCAGAGTGTCAATTCATGCACCAGAGGCGCCGTTGCGCGCCAAGCATGGTTCACTCTGTACATGGCCGACATCTGTCTTTTCACCAAAAAGAACAAGCTTCAGGGAGGGGCAGGAGATGGTGTAGAGAAAGCTATGTAGCAATATTTCAGGACACAGAGCCAGGGGGGAGAGTGATAAGTATAGGGGCAGGGCAAAGGGCATGACTGAGTGAGAAGAGTAGCATGGTTTAGGGTGAGACCCTGAGAAACATACCTGGGATGCTGTTCAAAGTGGCAACAACGTGCATCTGTATGGGGAAGGGTGTGCGAGGGAAGTACTTGTGCTGCGTGACTGGCATGAAACGGAGGGGCTGCTGATACGTGAAACGGGCGCAGGGTCTCTCTTTGCCTTCCGCCGGCGGGCGGATGAGGACACCCCAGGTTGCCGCTGCTGGCGTGGGGGCGAGGGGTGTTGGTGGGCATGATCCGGGCACCCCACCACGGCGCTGATGCCCTGCCTGGGGAGCATCACCAGTGCAACTGGACGGCCGGCTGCTGCAGCAGGACGGCGTTCCACCTTTGACCCAGGGAGGAGAAGGGGTTGCGGGGCAGGGCGGCCAGGGCCATGCATGCCAGCCAGGCCAGGCCGAGCAGGGCGGGGAGGAGGAGCATGTTGCGGTCCAGGGAGTGGGACAGGCCGGACTGCGCGGTCTGCAGCCCCCTGCGGGCCAGGAAGCTGGACCGCTGCCGCGTCTCTGCCGGGGTGGTTGTGTGTGGAGGGTTGGATAGATGTAGGACGGGCCAAAGGTGTGTGTGGGGGGGGTACAGTACGACCATGTAATGCAGGTCTTTCAAGTGCCAGGCGCCCGCCACCCCCACCCCCCTAAACACCCCCACCCGGTTCCCCCACCGATGACGTAGAGGTAGATGCTGGGCACCAGGACGCCAAAGGACAGGAAGACCCAGTTGATGACCACGGAGCAGGCGTAGACGGCGTCGGCCTGGCCCTCCGCCGGCCAGCGCCCCAAGCCCAGGCCCGCCACGCGTGCCCCCACCGCGTACACGTCCAGCAGCGCCCGGCGGCTGGCCGGGGTCAAGTCCCCCGCGCGGCAGTAGTCGGCGTTGCTGGACAGCGCGGATGCGAGCCAGAACGGGAGCAGGGGCAGGCGGTGACGCAGCAGCATGGGCCGGCCCAGCAGCTGGAAGCAGGCGACGCAGGCGCGCGACATGATGAAGAGGCGGGAGAGGACCACCACCGCGCGCACGCCACGGCGCGTGTGGTCGCCCGCGATGTTCTGGGCGCGGTGGTAGCCAAAGGCGGGGTACAGCGCGGCGGTGACCAGCTGCATGGCCTGGTGCAGGCGCTTGCGGTGGGCGGTGTAGACGTGGGCGGGCAGCGTGGCCACGAGGACGCCGGGGATGGCCTGAACAGGGGATGGGGAGGGAGTGGGGGCCCGTCGTGATCTGGCCATGCAAGGAGGGGGAGGCGCAGAGCTGGCGGGTGTCGCCACAGAGCGTGGGCATGCATGCACTCTGGCTCTACGCCGAGGACCCACGGAGCCAGGATCCCGGTGTTGGGGCACAGACCAGCATGTCAGGAGCTGGCCAGGCAGGTGCCCACCTCGGCAAAGGCATACGCCAAGAGCAGCTTGTGCTCCTCGGCCGATGCAAACCACTCCAGATTCGTCTTCCAGGAGGGAGGGGGAGGATGTGGTGGTGTGGGCGACGTGGTGACAGGTTCTCTCCGGAGAATGGATTGTTGAAAGGAGCTCATGCATCATTCTCCCAGCTCATTGTGTCCCACGGCTGACGACCCCTCCCTCCCTTCTCCCTAAGAGCTCCTATCCTCGCACCAGATTTAATGTCGCCACCAGGTAGATGGCTAAAACGAGGATTGCAACCGCAAGAGCGCCAGTGGCGTCCAGGGAGCGGTGTCTGGAGGCATGCTGCCCTTCAAAGGCCCTCTCCAGCTCAGGGTCGTCGAACACCAGGGTAGCGGACCAGGGCTTGCGGGCCATGGCATCTGAGAAGTAAGATTATGGCCCGTGCGAGAACCCTATAAATACAATGGGCAATGCTTCGTACCCAGGGTTGGGGGAGCTGAATGCCATTCCGAACCCCGCCAACCGGAAACTCCCGACGCGCGTGTATGACAGCAGGTGGGTCCTAGGGTAGAGTTTGGGAGGCATTGCAGCTGGATACACCTTCATAGCTTGACAAATCAAGCATTTGAAGACCCCGCACTGAGATATCTGCCGTAGAGAGCCACAGCTAGCGCCTTACACCTCCAGATACTGGGCCCATGCATAACTCTCTGTAAGCACTACCCCGAGATCATGCGGAGACACCGCCGATACTGAGAGCATTCCGATCACAATTTACCTCACAAATACATTTCCCAGGTCGAACCAGCCCACGTACTCCGGTCAGCGGGACGGCCTCTCACAGGGACCGCACCACCTCGCTGCTAACACCCTGGGAAGCGAAAGCCCGCCCGTGGCAACCCGCGCTCTATGATTCAAACCTCAGTGCAGCTGTAGCACTCTCGGAGAGGTCACTGGGGGGATATGGGGGTTGCAGCTCAGGAGCAGGGTAGGTCCAGGGTCCCGCACTCGGCGCCGATCCACCGGGGAAGCCACAGGGGGCTGTGGATCCCCTCCGTCCCGCTCCATCCTCGTGCCACCCAGCCCCCTTGGTCATCCCTGGGTGAGTGCGTCGGAGTCGCCCGATCCCCAGCCGGGCCGCAGCGGGCGCCTGCGTCTCACGGCCCGCCGCCCTCGAAGGCCGCCTGTATCTGCTCCAGGCTCCTGCCCTTGGTCTCGGGGACGAAGGCGTGCGCCCAGGCCCAGCCCAGCGCCGCCACCCCGGCGTACGCGGCCCAGGTCCCCGCCGGCCCCAGCGCGTGCAGCAGGGAGAGGAAGGTCTGCGCCACCGCCGCATTGGCCAGCCAGTTGGTGAGCCCTGCCAGGCCCACCGCCGTGCCGCGCACGTCGGCCGGGTACAGCTCGGCGTTCACCGCCCAGGGTACGGGCCCCAGCCCCGGGGAGAAGGCCGCCAGGTACAGCATCAGGCCTGGGCAGGCCAAGGGGGTGGGAGAGATGGGTCACAACGATGGCGATGACGACAGGGTGCGGGGCGTCGTGGGAAAGGGTGAGCCCACCCCTCCACACCGACACAAGATCACACCTACCCATGAGCACGAGGGGGGCCCTGGAGCTGGGGCAGCCCTGGGAGAAGGGCACGCCCGCGCCCGGGCAGGCCTGGGCCGGCAGCGCCGCCCCGCCGGGCACGCCGACCTGGCACTGGCCGGGCGCGGTGAGGTCGTCGACCGAGCCGCAGAACGTGCACCTGGCGGGGTTTGGGGTGGAGCATTGGCGTGTGGTCTGCTGAGGCATCGCGGCGCGTGAGGGGAGCAGCGCACAGAAGTCAGGGGACCGACATGGCATGTGGGCGCATGCCCTGGCCCATGCCCCATCAGAAGCATGGGGCAGCCATCTGCAATCCCAGTACACAACATCCGCAAGATTGCCTCACCCTCGGCGGAGGCAGGCAGTGCAGGAAGGTGCGGGGCAGGTGCTGGTCGCCAGGTCGACGGCGGGCGAATGGCTAGCGGCCGAGGCAAAGGCTGCAGCCAGCAGCAGCAGGGCACCTGCCACACACGCCGTGCTGGTCAGCAGCAGCCGCCGCCTGCCATACCTGGCGTGGCGAATTGGTTGTGTGTCGGTGGATGGGTCGCAACATGTGCAGGCAGGCCGGTTCAGGCCGTGCTGGCGCACAATGCGCGCAGGATGCACGCCACATCGTGGGCATGGCCCGGCCTAGAGGCGGCCACTTTTCGCCCGCGCACTCCCCACGCCCCCCCCACCCCCACCCCACCCCAACCCTCCCTACCTCTCTATGCAGTACATGCCTGCCAGCGTGCCCACAGCATTCACGCCAGCAGGGAAGAGGGAGAGCAGGAGCACCGTCTGCTTGTTCCGCACCCCTGCCGCCTCCAGGATCAGCGGAGTGAAGTACCTGGGCAGGGTTGCAGAGGGGAAAAGGGTGGAAAGGCGAAATGTAGGAGGACGAGATATCCTCGCTGATGGGACGCATCGGTGGGCAGGGCATGCAGTGCGTTGAGCGGCTGGGGGAGCGGCCACCACATAAGCCCTCCTCGATCCCAACAAGGACTGCGCCCCCGAACGCCCCATCCCTCACATGACGGTGTTGATGCCGCACAGCTGCTGCAGGGCCTGCAGACCCAGACCTGCAAGGAAGCAGGATGAGAGGGAGATCTGAATTAACGTTCGCATGCGCCCGAAGTCCCGTGTACTTTGCAAACCAAGCCGTGTCGCCTCGCATTGAATAGCCCGCTCGGGATTACAGCCCCCCCCCCCGCGCCGCCGGCCCGCCCCAGTCCCGCCCTTTCCACCCACCCGCTGCCCTCACCGACGTGCAGCTGGCGCAGGACGGCGGGCCGCGCCAGCTGGCCCCAGTGCGTCCCCCCGCTGCGCTTTCTCGATGGCGGGGCGGGCACCATGGTTAGCCCCGCCAGCTGCACTAGCGGGGGCAGCGCCGCCACCCCCAGCATCCAGCGCCAGCTGCCCGGTAGGTGTGCGGCGCCCCAGTTGACGACGTACGCCGCAAACTGGCCGCCAGTGATGGCGAGGACGTTGAGGGAGACCAGGCGCGCCCGCAGCGGCGGCGGCGCCAGCTCGGCGATCAACACCGGGACGGTGACGGATGCGACGCCCACCCCCAGCCCCACCAGCACCCGACCTGCGGGGGGTGGGGAGGGGGGAGAGAGAGTGAGGAAGAAAAGAGAGGGGGTTGCGGTCGATTCTGGGATGAGGGACGGGGTGGTCGTGGGCAAGTGCCAGGCCTGTTCGGGCAGGGTTTTGCATCCAACACAAGCAAGACCCCCGGCCCCAGCCTCTCACCCAGGATGAGGACACGCAGGCCCTGCGCCGCAGCCATGGCCAGGGCCCCCACGCAGAAGAGCCCGTCTGCGAGGGCCAGGGTGCCGCGGCGGCCCCAGTGGTCGGAGAGGCGGCCGCCCACCGCCGCGCCCGCCCCGGCCCCCACCACCGCCGAGGCCACAATGGTCTCCTGCACGCGAGCCAGGCGGGCGGGGTGGCCGGCCAGGGGGGCCAGGAGGGAGTCGCGGATGTAGGGCAGGGCGCCGGAGATGACGCCGGTGTCGTACCCAAACAGGAACCCGCCGATGGCGGCGATGCACGTGATCAGGAGCAGGTGCCTGGGGCTGAGGGGAGTAGAAGGGTGGGCATGTGTGCTGTGTGGACCTGGGAAGGACCTGAGAATAGGGAGTCCCCACGACCTGGCGGCGGCAGGGGGTTAGCCTGCCCAAGGCACCTGGCCATGTGCATGGGTGCCTCACCGGGGACTGGGTGGAGGTTCAGGGCCCTGGGCCGGATCATGGCGCGGCGAGGTTGCGAGCAGGGGACCCGTGTCATCCAAGACCTCGAGCACAGTCTCCCGGGGCTGCATCTCCACCCCGATCTGACCCGATGCGGGGCGCGCAGGCATTCACACGGGGCTGGACCACCTACCAGCCCCGCTGACCGCGAGGGCTGCCCATGTGCTCTTCCACATGATCCGTCCGATGCACGAGCCAATTCTGTTGAGTGTCTGCCGCTGATCTTGCACAGGGAGACTGGCTTGGATGCCCGGCCAGCTGCCGACACCAGTCGTGAGATCGAGCCGCGAGATCAAGCGCCTTGCCATTACAGAATTGGTTTCGTGCAATCGTGGGCTCCCTCCCATCTCCGCCCTCTTTACAGGCTTTGGGCAACGCACACGCCTCACACACGATTACTGTCCACGCATCACGGCTTTGCCAAGTGTGAGCGCGGCACCTCTTCAAGGGTCATGGACTTGAGCAGGAAGAGGCGGTCGGCGCGCTGCGCCAGGCTCCCACCCCCCTTCAGGCCACGGGCCGCCAGCTCCCGTTTCAAGCGATCCAGCCCCAGAGCCTGCAGCTCCGTGGCAGAGGCAAAGGCACCCAGGTCGAGGGCGGGCTCCTCCTCAGCAGGGGCTTCTGTGGGGGCAACAGCCCTGGCAGCGTGCTCGGGAGCGCTGCCTGCCGACGCAGCACCATCACTGCCTCGCGCCTCACCGCCGTCGCCATTCGCCATCTGCTCGCGCCCCTCCTCTCCTGCCTGCTCCCTCGCATCCGCACCAGCGGCGGCAGGCCTCGACCCAGGCTCAGGGCCGTCGACCGCGGTGCGAGGAGAGGCAGAGCGCCCCTCCCCCGCCGGCTGCCCCTCCTCATCCTCCGAGTCGCTGCCATCGGACAGGGCTGTCAGGGGGTCTATCCTCCCGCGCTTTCCGGGCTGCGCGCCGCCCGTCGACCCAACGCGCTTCCCGGCCGCCAGCGCCGCCGCGACGCCCGCCGACACGTTTAGGAGGCTCTGCCGCAGGTCCTGGCGCACGGTGGCCACGTCCACCTCCGCCTTCTGGCTCGCCTTCTCCTCCTTGGCCAGCTGCTTGAGATGGCGGAGGGCGATCACCTCCAGCTCCCGCTCCCCAGCCTGCGCCTGCCACTCCTCCAGCTTCTTGGCTGCGGTCTGCTGCCTGGAGGGATTGAACGAGGGGGAGGGGGGGAAGCTTAAAGATCCAGGGGAGATGAAACATAGCAGGCTGGGCGGGGTTTGCCCAGTCAAGAGTTCTCCTCGGGGTTGCGCCCGCAGGTATGGGAGCAGGCAGACAATGCAGCGGGCGTCCCTGTCGGTGTGAAGAACCCAGACCATGCCAGGTCCAGTGGCACCCCATCTCCACGTGCCGTGGAATGGCAACTGGGCCTCCCACAGCCAGGCTCGACCCGCGGACCCTCTCCTCCCTTGACACTCTTCACCTGATGCGGCGGCCCTGCAGATCTCGGCAAGCGTCGTAGTTGTCGGTCATCTTAGCCTTTCCCGCTGCACGCAGATTGGACCCGAAGCCACCCTTGCCGCCCCGCAGCCGGCCAACAATGTGCAGGGAGGATCCATGCGAGATGCCCAGGCTGCATAGCGGGAGCTCTCCAGGCTCCACCGTCCGGCTGCAGTGCAGCAGGCTCACGTCCGGAGCGCCCTCGAGACAGGCCCTCGTGTAAAGCTCATCCGATGTGCTGCTGGAGGGCAGGGTCAGCACGGTAGTGCGCCCTGAAGGCAAGAAGCGAGAGCCACGGGGTCAGGAACCTGAGATGGCCTAGGGAAGCAGGATGACTGAAATACAACAGAACAACAAGATTCATCGACTGTGATCCATACCTTCGAGACCCCTCAAGAAGAGCTGCATGTCGATGTGCCGGGATTCGAGCCTTGTTGCGTTTCGACGACAGACCCACAGCCTTCCGGTGCAAGGTATCTATCGCTGAGAGATGACGGGGCCGTGCTGTTGGAACAAACTATGAGGTGAGAATCCAGAAGCTCCAGACACCCCAGTGCGAGCCCTAGAAGAACTTGCAGAAGAAGTCCAAGTGAATGGGAAGGCGAGGCGGGAACTCTTGCTGCGCGCCCCCAATTCGGGAGTGGGGGTGAAGTCTCATTTACGGCATGAAGCAGCGACGCCAGATGGGAATTCATCCACGACCTTGCATACTGCGACTAGGAGTACGCACTCGAGACGGTAGTCGCGCGACCGCCCGCAGCATGTCGTCCAAGAGCAAAGCGGCTGCCCCAGTGGCGGACGCTGGGGAGCCCAGCACGAGCGAGAGGAACGAGCCTGGACGTATTGTGTACATAGGGTAAGGAAATTTTAATATTCCATATGGCATACAGGTGTGCCATGCGGGCTGACCCAAGAAGGGGGGGGGGGTTGGCATTTGACTAGAGTCACCCCCCCTTGACACCACCTTCTCTGCCTTTCCCTCCGCACAGTCACCTGCCCCATGGATTCTACGAAAAGGAAATGAAGGGTGAGGGGGTGCTGATATCGCGATGATGGAGAAGATGGGTGTTGCAGTTTGCCTCTCTGTGCAGTGCTTTGAGGGAGCGAAGCCATGCGCGGTGCCTCCCCTCAACTCCCACCCGACCCTCCCTCTGGACAGCCTACTTCTCCCAATTCGGCCGTGTGACCAAGGTGCGTCTGTCGCGCAGCAAGAAGACGGGGCGGAGCAAGCACTACGCGTTCATCGAGTTCTACTCTGCGGAGGTTGCGCGCATCGCCGCCGAGGCCATGGATGGCTACATGTTCTTCGGGCAGAAGCTGCAGGTGGGTGTGGGGATCGAAGCATCACTGTGCCTGGCTCCCGAGCAAGTGCTGAGCCCTCACGGCAGCCTTGTTGGGTGCAGAGGCAAGGTGTCTTTCATGTTGAAACCAAACGATGCCGCGCCACTGTCACTCTGCCCCCGCGCGCAGGCCAAGCTGCTGCTCCCCAGCCAAGTGCACAAGGACCTGATGAAGGGCTCCAACCGCGTCTTCAAGAAGGTGGGCTGCTGGGCCGGGCGGGAGGGGGGGGACAGGGAGATCGCGGCGCCCGCTCGACACCCGGCGGTCAGTCGGTGGCCGCCCAGAGCACCCGACCCGGCCCACGATCGCAACCCCATGCTCGCAGGTGCCCTGGAAGAAGATAGAGATGGAGCGGCACAATGTTGAGCGGGGCGAGGCCGCCCAGGCCACGCTCCTGAAGCGGGCGCTGAGGAAGGACAGGCTGCGGCAGCAGAGGATCAAGGAGGTGGGCCGGGGTCCTGTTTTGGGGACCGAGCCGGGGGTGGATATGCGGCTGGGAGGAGCATCGTGCAGGGGGCGATCGAGGGGCTGAGCCCTAGTCCGCCAGGCGCTCCTTTCTTCTGGATTGGTGCTGGAGTGAGTGCCTCTTCGTGCCGCGGGCGAGCAGCTGTGAAGCAGCATTTCACCCTTCCCCTGTGCAGGCCGGCATCGACTACGAGTACCAGGGGCTGGAGAGCCGGTTGCCGCGCGCCGCCGTGAAGACCACATTCGAGGACTGAAACCGCCAGGCGCGGCATGCCCCATCCCCGTCACCGTGCGGGGCACCGCCCCTCGCACTTCTTTCAGACCCTTCCACCAACCACTTCTACCCTGCACGCTACGAGCTCGTTGTACAGCAACAGCAATTCCTCATAAAGATTATCCGACGGCCAGGGTGGGGCAGGACGAGTGCACGGGTGGCGTGCCTCCGCCGGGGCCATGCCCGCCAGTGGCCGTCAAAGAAGAAGGCCCGCAAGCAGTTTGCACAGGAAACTGTGTCAAAATTGGATAATAGCTTGGTGTGCGGGGGGGTTGAAGGGGGGTCCAGGACGCTCAGTGGGAGGCCCAAAGCGATGAGCAGTGGGGAAGGCGTGTCAGCCCAAGGGATGCGTGTGCAAAGGTGCGACGCGCGCAGAAAGAATAGACAGGGTGCCGCTGCAGCCTGCTGGCAGCAGTGTCTCGGGCCTGACGGTCTGTCCAACTGGCACAATAAGTAGGGAACAATGGCAGCCACGCCCTCACTCCTGGAGGGCCCCAAGTGTGGGTGTGGGGCTCCCGCAGATGCGGAAGCCCCGGAAGGGATGTGCGCACTCGCAGGGTAGGCCACACAATCGAGAGCATGGGGCAGGTGGAGCTGGGGGATGCATGGGACAAGGCCCTCAGTCCTCGGCCCTGATCTGCCGGGCGTGGGCCTTGGGTCCGGTTCCCAGCGTGCCCAGCATGGCGTTGATGGAGTCAGCTGCCGACTGGTGGTCCATGGTGAGGCCCAGCCGGCTGGGACCCTCCAGCGGCGCCAGGCGGCAGCGCTTCAGGGCTGCGACGGCGAGGGTGTGGGGGTCGGTTGCGGGGTGTCGATGAGAGGGCTGGGGGCTCAGGGGCGCAGGAGAACGATTGAGACTCTGCACAGGGACTCACCCCTGTCGCTGCTGAAGATGGTCTCGGAGGAGGCGGCACTCGGGGGTGTGGCAGGTCGGTCGTGGGCTTCAGCCTCGGCGCCACGCTTCACCGGCTTGCACCCTGCAAGCGGGAGGGACATGTAGCTCTGCTCCTTCCTGTGGGCAGTGGCAGAGGAGTGGGAGGTTTACTGGGGCGCCTGGGATCTGAGTGAGAGGATGAAGCCAAGCGCAGGGCAGCATGGGAACGATTAAGATCGCAGGAAACGGAAACACCAACCCAACAGATGTCCCTGCTCCTCATTGTGTTCCCAAACCTGCAGATCGGCATCTTCCCAACATACCACACCATTGTCTTACGTGATGGGACTGGCTGCGGGCGTGAAGAGCAGGGCAACCTCGTCGTCAGCCTCATCGTCTTCATCAGAGTCTGCCGAGGGAATAGAGTGTCGAGCAGGCATGAGGATACAAATGGGAAGCTCTGGCGCCAAGCAGCTCATCATTATGCAGTTTGAAGTTCCATCCAGGTGACGGACCACCAGGTACCTTTGACGCTGCGTTCCAGCTCCAGGACGCCCTGGTGGCTGGCAGTGAGAATGGCCTCCAGATCGAAGGCGTCTCCCTCAACCCCCTCCCAGCACAGGGGAAGGTCGTCGGTGTCCGGGGCCCAGGGCGCCGACACTATGGGGTGTTGTGGGAATAAATAGAGAGTCAAGGGGTGCCGCGCATGGGGGTTGGCGAGAATTTCACGCGGTCGGGGCCCTCCGATGCCAAACAATGGTCGCTCGCACCTTGTGCCAGGCCCGGCATGCCACACCCGCGCATGCTCTCCCACTCCATGCTCAGACGAAGCTGTTGGGAGGGGGTGGGGTCTCCGTAAACGTAGTGCCGGGGGTCCAGACTGATGGACGCCTCCGAGCCCGAGGCTCCCCGGCGAGGCCTGACTCCACCCCCATTAGGAGACCGCATTGCGGGGTACAACCCAAGCGAGTCGGCAGCAGTCTGCGTATAATTGGGTTGGGAGGGTGAGGTGAGGCTTTCCCGGCAACAGGCGATGGTAATGAGGCTCGGGCGACCGAGTCTGCATGGGCAAACTGTCTCCCCCCCGGGGCCAAATGCAGTGAGGCGCCCGACGCACCGGTGTCGGACGGATCGTCGAGAGGTGCGCTAATTATGATGTGATCTGATCCACCCCTTTGAGCGGCGCATTGGCCCGGTCATGGTGTTGAGGCCGTCGCCCGCATCACGCCGACGCAGGTGTCGGGAGGGCGTTTCGCCGGGGACGAATGCGTGGGTGTACTGCCAATTTGCCCCACGTGGTACTTCCTCGCCCGGTCAACAGTCCGAGCCAGCTTGGACAGCGTACCCGAGCTGCTGGCCAGCCTCAAGCAGCCAGCCCTGATCCGACGGTGCCACATAATATAAGTTCTGACTGAGAGCCGAGACAGTTGTGTTTGCCTTTGCTGCCTCCCTCCTGCCCATCTGATTCGCTTGCTTTTCTTGCATGGGTCAGAAAGACTTGACAGAGCGAGTTTTCTGAGGGAGCTTGATAAAATTAGAGAGTTTACCTCACGAACTGACAATCAGTTGGAGATTCTCCGAGGCAACACTGTCTCAGGGAGCGCCCAGGCCCCCTCTCCTTCGTTGAAAGGCGGGGGCCTCGACCATGAAATGGTCTGTCAGCAGACGGTGCATCGTCTTGTGGCATGTGTACTGTACTATGGGGTCGTGAAATGTTGGCTGGGGATCAGGAGATGCGGAAGGGCAGGGGAGAGGAAAATCAGAGAGAGATTAGAAGAAAAGGGCTGGAGGAAAAAGAAGGGGAAGTACAGCAACCGGACCACGGACGGGGTCTTCTTATTGTATACATCCAATTACCGTGCAGCGCCGGACAAAGCCCAGCCGCATTTCCCCCCTCATGGGACGGGCCCCTGCAGGCACATCGAGCTGGCAGTGCAGCGATGTGGTGAGCTGCCGGAAGGGGCCTCAGAGGGTCTCAGGCGTGCCCAAAAAACGCCTAGAAGCAGTGTTTGGCCTGAAGTGAGGAGAGAAAGGGAGAGAGAAAGGGAGAAAGCAGCGGGGTAACCGCTGATGTGGTTGGAAAAAGGGTGTAGAAAAGGAGGCATGAGTATAAGGTGGGAGGCAGACGGTCGCCTTCACTCCCTGTATCTTAACGCTCAAGTGGGAGGAACTTTGGTGATTCAGACGGAGCCGGGAGACAGCGCCCGTTTCACTGCAGGTGGGCAGGAGGTTGGGAGGACGGAGGCTGAGCGATGGGGGCAGTCTGGCATACCGGCAACTGCACACGCCGTGCCGAGACGGTGTGCGCAGGCTCATGCATGCCGAGTGGGTAGTTGAGGTTCCCCAAGGCAAGGGGGAGGTCCTCACAATGGGCCAGCAACAACACCACCCTGTACGCATGTCGGAACCGGCAAGTCTGCATCAACACTTTGCACCATCTAAGCCACTGCGTCCCTTCCTAACACCCATGACGCCACCCACCAGCACCCTCCCTAACCCAGCCAGTGGCAGCTCACCCGTCAGGAACTTGGTCCCGACTGCCCTGCCGTTCAGGGCCTGAATTACGACATCCGTGACGCTGGTGTCCACAAACTCACAAAAGGCATATCCCGTGCAGCATGCGG